ACTTCAAGTTCATTTTGTAGATCTTTTTATTATGAGTACCGCCAAAGCAAAACCTGCAAGCAAACTTTGAGGTATCAATAAGGTGTGTTTAACCCTGGGAAAATTGTAATATTACGTATTAAATCATCGCATACAATCAGTGTTCTGGTTGTTTCTATATCATGTGTGCTTGTCATTATTTAACAAAACTTAGACCCTAAGTCTTGTTAAATAACGCAATGATTTAATACGTAATTTTCTCAGTTAAACTCGCCTTATTGATACCTCAAAATTTGTTTACAGGTTTTGCCTTGGCTACTCTTATACAATTATTACTTATGACAAGCTTTTTATTGAATAGATACCTATTCAAATAAATTGTTAAAATGGATCCTTTTAATATGTGACACTCCATATAATAAGTTCTGGATATAACGAACTCAAAATTTAAAATTTTTTTTTAATGATTTGGTATAGAATTGTCATGACCTTAAGAAATAATAATTTTTAAAGAATGAACTTTTTTCTTTCAAAATTGTCAGTTCGTTATAGGAGGAGTTAAACACTAGTATACTAATAATTTTTATAAAATGCAAGAAACTTAGCCTAAAAAAGTCATTGATTTTATTTCTGATGCTTGGGAAGATGTAAGCGAGACTACTATAAGAAATTGTTGGAGAACTACCAAAATTATGGCTAAAGTAAGTGAGATGGAAGGTGAGTTGGAGAAAGAACCTCAAGAAGAAACAACTGAAATAAATGACGCTGCTATGATAGTTGACGACCTTTCAGCTGCTGCAACCAACCCAATGACCCAGGAACTGAAAGATAATATTGAAGAATACATTTACATGATCGACCAACCAACCACAACTGAGGACTTGTTAACTAACGAGTATATTATTGAAATGGTAATAGATGAATTTTATGAAGACAATGAAGATGACAAAGAACCACCACCACCCCCAATAACCATGATAGAGGCTATTGAAGCCTTGGAAAAGGTCATAAGATATCAGGAAAGTCTCGATGTAAGACATGGGTTTGATGAGAATGAGTTAAGAGCATTACGAAAAAAACACAAAGAATGGCAATATGAAAAAGAAAAAAAC